ACATGCAGTCAAATATAATCCAATTCTTAACGCGTTCCTTTCAACACCAGATAATGGAGCCGCCAATAAACTACCGTACTGCACTTATTAAAGGATTCCCTTTTCATTTATATCCCATGTAAAAAATATCCGGGTGAAAATCGCAGAAATTTCATTAACCGTGAGCTGCTCTTTTTTAAGTCTCAGACTGCATACCATAAATGAGGAATGTATGTGTACTTAAAATTTTCTAATTTGCGATAAAGGTCCTCTGCTGTATAATCTTATATAGTTATTGCATCCCAGCCGGTACGGCTGGGTTACCGAACGATCAGAAGAGAACATAAAATACAGCAGTTGATGCATACGGGAACATGCAATGACGGTTTTATTCAATGATTTACTATCTCAGTTTATAAAATAAGATCAATAATTTTATCATATAAAAAGTACCATAAAAAATAATTGATTTATTTTATAGACTGATCATAGTAAAGCATTGAATAAACCCGGGTATTTTTTGGTTAGATGTTTTGTTTTAGACCCGGGTCTTTTAATCAGTGTATTACGGTAAATAATATGTAAATTTACATATAAATCAAACCTAAAATAGTACCTAAAATATAGTAGTTTTGATCACGAATTTTGGATATGTAAAAGCTTATCACATGTACTTTCATCGTATAGTTCATCGGTGCCCTATTAATGTTGTTGGCGCAGAATCTATCATTAATTGTAGAATTTATTTTGTTGTGATGGGGATTTACTTATCTTTGAAAATGGTTGGTATAGCTAAGGCCACACAAAGTTGATTTTTTCGTTTTGCATTATATGGATTTCAAAATTCCCGGTCGGTCGGATTTTTTTTTTTTTTAATCTACAGTAAATTAATAGACTCATGTTCACATCCAAGGCCGCACAAAGTTAATTTTTCGCTTTGTATAACATGGAATCAGACAATTAGGTTGGCAGTCGAATTTTTTTCTATCAGTTCTATCAGATAATTTCGGGAAAATAAGGTCTCTATCGGGGGATACAGGATTAATTTATGGGAAAAATTAAATGGCAAACATAGAATAATTGGCACAATTGGAACTTAAAAAAAAAAAATTGAAAAATTGAAAAAAAATGGGTCAGTGGGTAATGCAAAACGAAAAGTCAACTTTGCGTGGTCTGAAAAGAAGATCGACTAAAATATTATTTATAAAGTTTATATAATACCATTTTTTCTATTATTTTAATTCCAGATCCAAACCTTTTCATTTCTTTATATTGCCAAGCAATTTTCATTTTATAATCAACCTTCGCTCCGTTATCCAAATCATTCGCACCTTCGCTTGTAATCCAAAGTAGTCTTTTTGTAAAATTTGAAAATCCTTCAGCGCTGGAAAAAAGCACATGGACATATGAAATCATAGTCGCGAAATAACGTCCCGGAACATCATTAATTTAGAAGAGGTAACTATATGATCACATGTTTTATACGTCTTAATTTGCAGTCAGACCTCTCTAAATGCATAGCCGAGGAGCGGTCAAAAAATCTTGCATTTAGAGAGATATTGCATTAGGGAAGTAAAATCTATAAGTGTTATATGAGTTGGGACCAAATAAGGCCATGCATTTAGGGAGGTCTGACTGTAATCTGGCAACAATGTTTTATTAAGCAAATTTAATGATTAGTTACCTCGAAAGATTTAAATCAATTAGTTGCCGACTTGGCCAACTTTTCGATTCGTATCACTACACAAACGTAATGGCTAGAAATGAAACCTACCTGAAACTAGTTTCGGAATTGAAACATAAATTTGAAATGCGAAACCTTCTCTATAGACTTACTATTTATTTCTTACCCAATTGTGTTTAGACCCACGTTCTCGAATCATAAAATCTTATAAATTTACATAAGTAAATTTATTAGGTATATGTCGGTATAAAATATAGTGGGTAGATGTGAAAAAACCAGATATGTATTGATTAGGTTAAAAAATTCCGGCTTATTACAATATGCATTAGACATTATGCATAAAAGATTGTCACTATAACGTTTCAATCATTCCTATTTGAT